CCGGGATTCTCCATGCACACAGCGTCCTCTGGCATCCCTTCCACCCCAGCACAGAGCCCTCAGCCGTTTCACTGCCAGGAGACCCCAGAGATGCTCCGAGCTTCTGGCGGGCGGGAAGGTGCTGGGTCTTCACAGGAAGGAATCACAGTCACCAAATGGGCAACCAGACGCTTTCCCTCAGAGCCGTGCAATGTCCCCACATGCCAGTGCCCCTGAGAGACAGTATCCCAAGGCGGACGGAGGCAAGGAATTGCGGTGGTGGGCTGGGCACGCAGCCCTGCAGACACAGCCGGAGATGGGGGACCCGGGCGGCGCTGGAGCGGCTGCCGCGAGAGGGCAGCGCAGCCCGGCCCGAGCCCCCCGAGCCCCCCGAGCCCCCCGCGCCGGGCTCGCCCTCCTGCGCCTCAGCCTCACCCCTCGGGGGCTGCAGCGCAGACCCCGTCAGCTCCCCGCGCTGGGCTGGCAGGGGGTCTCTTGCCGGAGCCTGAATTGGGTACAGGGAGGATCATTAGCCCTTCATCAGCCTCTATCACCCTGCGGCTGTGTGGGTTTTCTCCTGCCGCAAGACCTTACAGGAGGGCTGGCAGGCATTTAAGCAGCCCTTGGCGATACTTGGTGTTTCCCAGTTATTCCCTCCTGTTCCACGCAGCGCTTAGAGCTCTTTCCCTAAGGGCTTTAGTGGCAGCAGTCCTGTGAGGGATGTGGGCTGGAAGCATCGCCTTGGTGGCAATCAATCCACATCCTCACCCCTATGCCAGCAAGGACTGCCTTGCCTCTCCAGCAGCAGCCCAGTGCTAGGACCCATCTCTGCCCATAGATGAGGAAGCAGAGATGTGTTTTCATGTGGATTCAAGCCCGCCTCTGCCTTGCCTGCTTTCCACCCAGAGAAGCTGCATTTCTCCAGCTCTCTGAGCCATTCCCATCTCCACCGTTCAGCAAATGGCAGGACAAAAATAGCTTCTCTCCAGGGGCTGCAACAGGGCTGCTCGACTTGAGTGTGCTCTGCTTCACTCTGCTGTGTGAATCCAGGGCCGACTGCGGAGCAGGGGCTGCACAAGCTCCTCCGGCCACCATAGGTGGGCACTGCTCCCCACCCTGAGCCACACCGAGCAGGTATTGCAGGGTAAGCTGTGCTGGACCCACAGCTGTAGCCTCCTGCCCTTAAAGGCTGGGACAGGGACAGGAGACAGGTGGAAGGTAACCAGGAATGGAAAATGGAGAGATGCCTGGGCTGGGGTGCCCAGAAACACAAGCCAGTTCTCCTCCCTGGGCACTGCAGACATCCTGCTGCCAGGTCCTCTGAGGCTTCCCAGCCCCAGGGATGCCAACACAGGCAGGACTGCTGGAAGCTGTCTGCTGTGTGGCCTGGGGAGGGCAGCGTCAGGGCTGTCAGACCCACTCACTGAGGGATGTACTGAGACTGACATCTCCATGGGCAAGGCAGCGCAGGAGCTGGCTGGCCAGCTGCTGCCAGGGAGACAGTCCTTTCCCTGCCTGCCTTTGCCAGTACAGACAGACCACGGCACAGCAAGTGAGCTATTAAAGAACAGCTCTAGCCAGCCAGCAAACACATGCTCATTCATCATTCTGGAGCAGGCAGGGGGACGTGCCAAGTGCTTTAAGCCAGGACCCATCACAAGCCTGTGTCCAATAGCTCAGTAGCCTGGAAGCTGACTAGGGGGCCCTGGACCCTCCAAAATGCCTTTTATGTCGTGAGGGTGCTGGGAGAGCTGCCCCAGGCTGAGAGCTTATGCATTTCTGAGCCAGAGCCCCAGCATGGGAGCATCATGCCAGAGAGTTTGGAGAGGATGTGACAGCTGGCATGAGCCTAGCCAAGGCCTGAGCTGCCTCCCATTCCCCCTGAACCAGGCAGACAGAGCTGCACTGCTCTGTGTTCTGGGAGGCTCAGGTCAGGCAAAGCAGAGTGAGAGACTGCCAGGAACCTGCAGGGAACTGTGTGGATCCTGCAGGTCAGTGCTAGCTCTCTCTAAGATTTTTTACAGTACTGCCTACAGGACTGGTTTTACACCAGCTTCTCTCCCCTGGTGCTGCTGTCTTCCCACCTGTCTCCATCCCTAGAGCCCAGTCAGCTCTGCTGGGAACCAGAGTGCTCCAATTTCCCATCTGAGACAGCCCTGACTCTGGACAGGGATACCCCTTTACATGGCCCAGATTAGGGTCTTGGACAAGAAAGCATCCCTTTGTTGGTGCTAGCAGGACACTGAAGTGTGTGTTGCCCTGCTAGAGTGACCCTTAGTCACAGAGGACCTGTGCATGCCAACAGTGTCCCTGCAAATCCACCCCACCTGGGTGAAGATTTAGCCAAGGGCAGAAGCCTGAGAGCTTTGGGACTGACTGTGCCTGAAGATCTACCTCATTCCTCCCTTTCATCCAAGGGCACGTCATTCCTGTTGCCTGGGGTGGGAACCCAAACTCCTTGGGGAAGGGAAATGCTGCCCTTCCCTCCTGCTTTGTGCCTTTCCCTGCCAGCTGACCGAGAAAGAGGCCAAGAAGAGATGGTCTCAGGGATGTAACTTGTGCTCTAGCATTGCCTGCCAGCTTCTTCTTGAGCCTGAAGAGGAGCCTAAAGAGTGGGGAAAAGATCCTCCTCTTTCACATGGAAGTGCAGCTGCCTCCCATGTAAGCTGCAAAGCTGCTTCTTTACCCACATGAGGAACATCCTGCTGTTCTTGTGGGGCTTGGGTAATTCCACAGTGCTTGCAGGAAGCTCTTGCCACTGTCAGCAATGCTGTCTGGAGAAGGACTAGGGGCCCGCTGACCTCCTCTACCCCAGAGCTGCTGCCGCAGCAGGACTCAAGCTGCAAGCAAGAAGGGAATAATGCCCTGGAGCTCTTGTGCTGCTCATAGCTGAGGCCTCGAGCTGCATCACTAAACAGCCCTGAGCTGGATTTTTAAAGAGGCTTCAGCCAAATGTCTCGTCCTGGGAGTGGTGGGAGGTGCACGCGCACCGAGCAGAGTGGTGCAGCAGCCACAAGCCCAGCCAGGGCTGGGGAATTCTCTGGCCTCTGCTGTGCAGTCCAGCTCATCACTGCCAAATAGGAACAACCTTTATGAATGAGTTCTGGGAAGCCAGTCTGGGAGAGCTCACACAGCGTGGGGGAGGCTTTGTGCGAAGCGATCTGAGAGTGATTTTACTTCAACAGGAGCAAATAGCATGCAGAAAGGTCTCTGCTTCCTCACCTGAAAAATTCAGCTGTGGGTTTCTGACGGGACCACATGTGCACACCAGAAATTCCTTAAACATGCAAAGAGAGCAAAGACAACAAGCTCCCTGCTATCACCTCCCTAGGGCTCCCCCATCTTCTTGGCTAGGTTGAAACCAGCTATGTATATCTAAAGGTGCTGACTTAATTGTCATCACAAACCTTGTCCTGATTTTCTTCCTCTGTATTTATACCCATTTACCAAATCCTCATGGTTACTTCAGCCCAGCCTAAGCTGGCCTTGAGTAGGTAATGCTGGCCCAGATCCACTTTGGTTCTGGGCACTCCCAAAGCAAACCTCTGCATCTGAGGGTCCGTGTGTACACGTGCCTGTTCTCTGCAGATGCCACTGCAGGGATGGCAGCTGGCCACAGTGCAGGATATGTGGGAATGAAACTTTACTCTATTTCCCTGCCATGGCCCAGAGGGCACAGCCTCTCCCCTGCCCCCAGAGGGGCAAGTCAGCCCCAAGCATCGGGAGGCCAGTCTAGAAGCCTGAAACATGGCTCCGAGTCTGCGCTTTCTTTGCAAACACCTCCAGCATCGGCAGTGCAGGAGGAAGTGGGGAGGGGAGAGGGTGGGCTGGTTTAGCTCCTCCCAGCTGATAATTCATTACCGCCTGTTAGCCTGGATCCATCCTGCAGCAGCTACATCCTGGCAACGACATGTGTTCATTTCACACATAAAATGCTGTATCAAAATGCATCCTTGAGGCATTCCCCCTGATACCTTTTCCAGCTGCCTCTCTCAGCGCTTCACTTGTGGAAGCAGTCCCTGCAAATGGGATGTTTTGTTCCTAATGGATGCCTGGCACCCACCATAGAAATCAGGGCTGCAGCTCATGAGAAATACAAGGGGGATCTTTCTGCGTGGAGCAGAGAGGCAGCAACATCTATGGCGTGCTCTGATCCATAGAGGGAGAAGCAGCATCTGCGCTCACGCACGTGGCTGGTTTATTGCACACCATTTGCAATGGTGCAGAAGTGCAGCATCTCTTCCCTCCTCTCCTTCCCTGTGGGTTTGGGAGCTTTGGGCAGCAGAGCTGGCTGGTCTTGCCTTGGGAACATGGAGGTGGCCTTGTGACATTTCTCTGAGGTCCCTGACTGCTGCCTGATGCTGGTGACTCTCAGCCTGGGGGTGAATCTCCCTTCCACAGCTGAGTGGGAAGAGGCAGGGTGGGTCAAGGACCCCACGCTTGCACAGCAGCTCGTGGGAGTGCTCCCCAGTGGCACCTTCTGACTCCCTGTGGAGCCATGCCCAGGGCTGGGCGGGTTCTCAGGAGAGATGAGGCTCGGCCACCAAGCCTACGCCTTTCATGTTGGCTGCCGAGTCACAGCCAGCCTTGCACCCACCCCAAGCCTTCTCCAGCTTCCCTCTGAGCACCCGTTCTTCTCGATCCTCACGCCTCCTCATTTCTCTAGCATTTTCCTAGCATCTCCTCATTCCTCGAGCATTTTCAAAGGCTTCTTCCCCACCGCGTACCCCTATCACCACTGGGCCAGGGGACTCTGCTGGTCTGGGAAGGTTCACCCCTCCCCTTGCAGGTAAGAAAACAGAGCAGGACTTGGCAGGAACAGCCGAGTTCAGAAGCCCTCCCGTGACGCTTCCCGTGTCCCCTGTGCTGCCCCCGCGTCCCCCAGACAAAGGGCTGCGGGTCTGCCACAGCACCGCGGCCCCCAGCCCGTCCGCCGCGGCGGGCGCACCGGCCGAGCCCCCTCCGGTGAAGGTCACGCCGGGGCGGCGGCCGCCGGGCAGAGCCG